CGTGTTGTATCTATCCTTCAATTTTCCCAGCAATAAACCAAAACCAAACCCATTGCCACTGAGTCGATTCTGACTCATAATGACCCTGTAGGACAGAGCAGAACTGCCCCGTGGGGTTTCCAGGGCTGTAAATCTTTACGGAAGCAGACTGCCACATTTCTCCTGTGGAGCAGCTGGTGGGTTTGAACTGCCAGGGCTCCTTCCCAGCAATAGGCTTCACACTAGTTCTATTATGAGGTATGCATGTATAAGAACATATTAATCAGAAGGCCCCTGATTTAATAGATAAGAAACAGATGGAAAGTTGTCAGAACTCTGATATATATGAGCTGTTAAGTCACATAAACCTCTTCTGTACACAAAGAAATTTTCCAAATTGGAAAAAAACAGTAATAGTAAGTAGATTTATTTTTTTTCTCTTACTAGCTAATACATTCACATGGATCAACAGTCAAAACAATATAAGGAGGTACACTTTGATGAACTTTACTCCCACTCCCATCCCCTTGTCATGTAGTGTTTTGAATGGAGAAGCATGTTAAATAGGGCTGGAGACAGACTTAACAGTCTTATTTTCTTCCATGTGTGGACTGCTCTTTAGCTGTGAAACAATAGCTGTTATTTATATTTGCCCTTGCATTTCAGCTCCCCCAGAGCTTTCTTTAAAGTTAATTTTATTTATTTTGTTGTTGTTGTTGAGAATACACAGCAAAACATACACCAATTCCACAGTTCCTACATGTACAATTCAGCGACACTGATTACATTTATCAAGTTGTGCAACTATTCTCACCCTCCTTTTCTGAGTTATTCCTCTCCCATTAATATAAACTCACTTCTCTCTAAGGTTCCTATCTAATCCTTTGAGTTGCTGTTGTCAGTTTGTTCCCATATAACTTGCTGCCACTGAGTTGATTCCAACTCATAGCGACCCTATAGGACAGAGTAGAACTGCTCCACAGGGTTTCCAAGGAGGGGCTGGTGGATTTGAACCGCCAACTTTTGGGTTAGCAGCCATGCTATTAACCACCAAGCCACCAGGGCTCCTGATCCCATACAGATAGTCCTTAAAAGAGCATAATGCTCAAGGCACTTTTCACTAGTTAAGCTAAACTTTTGTTTGGTTTTAAGAAGACTTCAGGGGATATTTTTGGGTTAAAGTTTAAAGATTATCTCCAGGCAATAGTTTCAGAGGTTCATCCGGTCTCCACGGCTCTAGAAAGTCTGGAGGTCAAGAGAATTTGCAATTCTGTTTTGCATTTTCCAACTTTTGATCAAGATTCTTCTATAGAATCTTTGATCAAAATGTTCCGCAATGGTAGCCAGGCACCATCCAGTTCTTCTGGTCTCATGGCAAAGGAGGCAGTTGTCTGTGGAGGCAATTAGCCATACATTCCATATCCTCCTCCTATTCCTGATTCTCCTTCTTCCTCTGTTGTTCCAGGCAACAGAGACCAATTGTTGTGCCTTGGATGGCTGCTTGCAAGAGCTTTATCATTAAAAAAGTTTCCTCAAAGAGGACATGATATATAAGCTTACTGTTATGGACTGAATTGTGTCCCCCCAAAAATATGTATTGGAATTCTCACTTCTATATCTGTGGATATATATTCCCAATCTCGTTTGGGAATAGGGTTTCAATGTTAGGTTAATGAGGCTGTATCGATGTAGGATGTGTCCTACACCTAATCACCTCTAAATTATAAAAAGAGTAGATTAAGCACAGAAGCAAGCACAAATGTCAAAGACAGATGCGATGTGAAGGTCACCAAGGAATCAAGAAACAGAAGCTAAAAGAGACCAAGATCTTCCCCTAGAGCTGACAGATAGAGAGCCTTCGCCTATAGCCAGTGCCCTGAATTCAGATTTCTAGCCTCCTGAAACAGAAACCCTGGTGGTGTAGTGGTTAAGTGCCATGGATGCTTACTAAAGGGTCAGCAGTTTGAATCCACCAGGCATTCCTTAGAAACTATGGGGCAGTTCTACTCTGTCCTATAGGGTCACTATGAGTCAGAATCGACTTGATGGCAATGGGTTTTTTTTTGGGGGGGGGGTTAGCCTCCTGAACTACGAAAAAAGAAATTTTTCTTCTTTAAAGGCACCCACTTGTGGTATTTCTGTTACAGCAGCACTAGGAAATTAAGACACTTATG